ATAGAATAGAATAGAATAGAATAGAATAGAATAGAATAGAATAGAATGCAAGTTGCCCTAGCCATAGATGATCCACATCTGCCAAAGGGCTCCCTCAGTAATAAAAATGACATTTTTATCTCTGATTGCCCATCTCCTGGATCTTACTTCTTGATTCATGCTATGTTGAAGAGAATAAAGTGATGCTATGTCCTGACTTGGTCACGCCTCATCACATACACCCCTAGAACCACCTGTGTGGAACCTCCTGGGGCCCCTTCCAGGCTCATTTCTCATTTCCCTGCCACTCACCTGCATCATTCAGCCACTTCTCCAACAATGGCTTGAGTTTACACATGTTCTTGAAGCTCAGATTGAGGGCCTCAAATCTTGAGATGGTAGTCTGGCTAAAGTCATTGCCATACAGCTTTCCCATTGCCAATCCCACATCTCCCTGCAAGAGGTCATTGAGAGGGAGGAAGGTGAGGGGCAGGTATCCCTTTTTTTGCCCGTGTCCTCCACCACCCTAAAGCTACCACAGTCCGAGCCTGAGCATCTGCCCACTGCCTTACACCTCCCCAGGTCTTTCTCTTCTAGAGTACAAGAACTGGCTTAGTTATCTCCTTACGCTCTGACTAGGCCATGCTGTTGCCTGGTCTTCATTCCTCTATCTCCACCAGCAATGTCCTCACTTTCTTGCCCTCCCCCGCACCAGCAACCTATGCTGTATTTGCAGGCAACAGGATGCAGCGTACTTGCCCCAAAGAAGTGCCAGGATGCTCCTGAAACCCTCACTCGGAAGACCCAGCCTCCATTACACGACCCAGTTCTTCCATCTCCTACTCCCAAAGCAAACCTGTGTGAAACCCAGCTTAATGCGCCTCTGCTTGAAGGTCTTGGCGAACTTCTCCAGCTCCTCTAGGTCACTGGGCTCATCAGCACCTCCAGACCCAGGCAGATGCTTGGGCCCTGGCAGATGCTGAGGTGCTTCCAGATGGGGCTCTAAAGACGATCCTGGCAGCCCAGGACGCCCAACTGCCTGATAAGAAACACAGGCTAGGATGAGCCACAAAGATTCAACAGGCCAAGCAGAGGTGTGTGCATTTGTTGTTTATTGATGGGTTCACTTAGAGGGTGACAGGGCCTTGGGTTTACTGAGCCCTTTTGTTGTCGTTGGGTGGGAAAGAGACCAGCATTTCTGTGAATCTAGAACAAAAACTGAATACCTTAGCTGGAAACAGAAAGAAGCCGGACAAGGAGGTGGCCTCTTTGGGTTTTGGTCTGTGACTCACTGACTCACTAGGTGACTTCCTCTAGTCAGCTTTCCACCATAAAAGGAGCTGGCAGGGTTGTTTACTATGAGAGCTGAGATCCCAGCATGGAACAGATCTCAGCATGGGACAAGGAAAAGGTCATTTGCCTCGCCTGCCTGTTCTTTTCCACAGAGCAAGGTGACGAAGGCACACACAACAGTCACAGACTAAAGACAATGGGAGAGGAGTAATCTGGAAATTCAAGATATTAGTTATGAATGTCACTTTACTTCCCATACTACTGTTTTCTTTAATGAGAACATTGAAATTTTATTTCACGAATCCATTTTTTTTAAGATTTATTTATTATTTATACAACATTCTGCCTGTATACCAGATCTTACTATAGATGGTTGTGAGCCACCATATGGTTGCTGGGAATTGAACTCAGGATCTTTGGAAGAACAGCGAGTGTTCTTAACCTCTGAGCCATCTCTCCAGTTGCCCCCCCCCCGTTTTTGTTTTTGTTTTGTTTTGTTTTGTTTTAAGAAAAATCTTGCTATGTAGCCCAGTCTGGCCTGATCCTGACAATCCTCCTGCCTCAGCCTTTGTAGTACTAGGTTTACAGATCTACACCACTATTAACCTTGAGAGTGCTGTAGTTTTAATATAAGGTGTTTTTGAAAGATTTATTTGTTTTTATTTTATATGTTTTGGCAGTTTTGCCTATATGTATGTATATGTGCCATGTACATCTGTGGCCCGTGGCCCATAAAACCAAGAATGGCATCAGATCCCCTGGAACTGGAGTTAGAGATAGCTACCATGTGATTGCTGAGAATGAGATAACTGCTGAGCTGCCTCTCTGGCCCCAAACAAAGGTTTTGTTGTTGTTGTTTTGTTTCTTTTTTTTTTTGTTGGTTTGTTTGTTTGAACTAGTACTATCTCAATGCACCTTGTCAGAAGATATTCCTCCTTTAGTCTGTTTTCATAGAAAATTCTACCATTTAATTTAGATTCACATAAGATCAGGAATATATCTAGTCTGGGGATATCCATTTTCTAAAAAGATTTAACTTATTTGTTTATGAGTATGGGTGTTTTGCCTGCATGTGTGTAAGTGTACCACATGTGTGTTCCTGGAGACCAGAAGAGGGAATCTGCTCCCCTAAAACTGAAGTTACAGGTGGTTGTGAGCCACCTGTTAATCCTGTGATTCAACAGGAAAAACAACACCATTTTGGGCCAAATTTAAAACAAGCATTTATTAAATATTTAATATTGACCAAGAGATGAACTTTGGTCAGAACCATTCGTAGGAATTTCTCAGCTAGAATGGCCTCAAGCCACAAGGTTGCAGGGGCTTATATGAGGACAAACATATAGGCCACCATACTTTCCCATGAGGCTTTGTTATTTCCCAAGAACTACAATTCCAGGAAGTCACCTGGTTCCTGGGAAGGTGGGGCTTAAAGGTTAATTTGGGGCATTGCACATCACGTGGGTGCTGGGAACCAAACCCAGGCCTCTGCGAGAAAAGCACGTGCTCTTAACCCCTGAGCCATCTCTCCAGCCCCTTGACCTATCTATTATTCCACAAAGATGGAGTGCAGTCCAGATTTTGGGGGCCAGGCACTGTGTCCAGCACAGAGACTACTCACTGCCTTTGAGGACAATGAGTGCAAATCCCCTTATCTCTCCTTTGCTCTTTTGCTTAGAGAAACTGAAACCCTCTCTCCTGCTCTGGTTTCCCAGAGACAGGCATCCTTATAAGGAAAAGGATAAGGAATCAGAGTCAAGTTAAGGATGCATTTTATTCTCACTTTCTAGAAGAGGTGTCTTCTAGATCAGAGTGTCTGGAAACATCACAGACCAATTTTGCAGGAGATGAGGGTGCGGGTGGAGGGAGGTAGCCCAGGCCAGATCCTCAGAGTAGTTTTGGTCGCCCTTGAACATTCCTTTTTATTAATTCACTTGCTGTTTCATTTGACAAACACAGTAAGCAGCACAGTTGGCTCCTCCTCCAACACCAACTGCCTAGTTACATCAGTTTGACACCCCACACTTCATTCATTTATCCCGCTCCGCTCTTGTTCCTGTGACTCTTGTTGGTTGGTCCCTCATCATCACACCCTAGGAGGACCCTTCTACTTACTTATGCATAGACAAGGTGTCTTTTTGTTACCCAAGCTGGTCTTCAAGAAGCAATGCTCTTGCCTTAGCCTCTGTGGTAGCCCGGACTACAGACAGGAACCATGGCACCCCGAGTACAAGAACCTTAATCATCTTCTAAATGGGCTCTCTGCCACCAGCCTCTTCACACTCTAATATTAGATGCAAGAGTTTGTCCTGGGTACGCTCTGGGACCTCATAGTCATAGATCAAGGTCTGTAATTATGCCATGCTTGGGGCGCAGCCAGAAGGGCGAAAGTGCAGCATCCGACTTAAGTGTCCCCATTTCTTTCAACCACTAGGTGGCGCTCCCCAGCTAGCTATAGTCAGTGGACATTAGGCCAAGGAAAAGCCAGGGTCCTTAGTGAACCTTGGGTGATTCTAACCCAGAAAAGAAATATTACAAGTCTCTGTAATCATTTCTGGGCTTCCCTTGCAGAAACAAGTCATGCATCTGTGCAGGCAACTGATGTCCCAGGGGCAGCGTGGCACAGGGCTGTCAAGAAACTTTTATTTCCTAATTGACAAATAGGAGATGTGTTCATGATCACAGTAGGTCTGATAAGTCCCTCCTGTTTGACCTAGCTTGCTTCTTCCCAGCATGCACCCACTGTAGGAAGTCATCCACTAAAGTGGTCCTGAGGTGAGGTACTGGCTTTTTTGCCCTGCCCTCCTAGGGGCTTGAGGGTCTCTGTGTGGAACTGGGCCGGGAGTGCGGGGTGGGGATGGGGTATCAGCATCCCTGTGTAACTGGCTAAGTTCTGAGAGGGGCGAGGCCTGGGGTGAAGCTGCTGAAAGGTGGTAGGCCAGCCTGGGAGCCTCATTCCAGTGACAGGGCAAACTACTTCCTTAGAAGTAGCTTAGGGTTTCCCCAGATGCCAACAGGGAGAGGCCCAAGTGTCCTGCTCAAAAGGAGGGAAGTCTGAGGAACTGAAATTTACCCAGGGCTGAGACAATCTATGAAGAATCAGGAGGGGTTGGGGAGAGGTAAGATTGGCAGTTACCTGGGAGGCGAGGCCAGGCCCCGTCTGTGGGAGAAGTAGAGGGTTTTGTTGCTGTGGAAAGGAGAGAAGATTCGGCTGCAGACCTGAGTGACAGGGGAGGGACAAAGGAACAAACAAACAAACAAACAAAATCCAGGCCATTTGAAAGGCAAGCTGAACACTAAAACCATGCTAACTGCCCCTCTCCTCCTGCTAACCTAATCAGGTCCATAACCCAACTTAAGTCAGATGAAAGGCCCTGTGGGCCACTGCCAGCAATTGCCACATACAGGTGGAGGCACCCAGACTCAGGGATAAACAGATGTAAACAGCAGTCCCCAAACCTGTCCTGCCTGCCTGCCTGCCTGCCTGGAGAGCTGCGAAGGAGAGGAGGGTCAGGACACTCTACCTGGGATCTGATTAGTAGGATGAGAAGCCCAGAGGGAAGAGGACTCACAAATGACTACAGAGCCCCAGGGAGGGCAGAGCATTTCTGTCTGCCTGGGAGGGAAAGCAGCTGGGATGCTTAGGCCTGCCAGATCTGTAAGGGCAGAGCAAGCAGATGGTACCATATTGCTCAGAAGGGCACTGGGTCATTGGTCAGAGGCTCCTGGTGACCAGGTCATTACATTCATGGGAGGGAGGACTGAGAGCAAAGGGAAAGCCGGATGTAGGGGCCTTCATGGTAGACTCTATCTACAGGTTACCTTGCCTAGGGACCTCCCTCTTCGTCTTCAGGAAAAACGCCAAGAAAAGGCTCTGCCTGTCTGAAGACTGATAAGTGGCTCTTGTCTTTGGATGGCCAGAGCCAGCACTTCTCACTCAAACTACCAAAGCTGACAATGGGTCAGATCTCAGTCACTCATCATAGAGAAGCTCCTTGGCATATCTGCAGTTCCTAGGAGGTTCTGGGTCATTACCACATCTGCTGAAGTTGACCTTTGTGTTCTTTAGTCTCAAAAGGTCAAAAGGGAAGAGAGGTCTTGGAGGAACCCTGGACTGGGAATTAAGAGGCTCGTGTATTTATTTTGCTTACATTGCATTCCGATATGCGGAGGCTTCTCATATGAGCGGAACCACGTACTTGTCAATAACTGTGTTGGGAAGAGTTTTCCTTTCTTTTGTAGAAGAGGAAACAGAAACTTGTAGAGATTATGCAGCAAAATCTTTAAAGAAGCGCAGCCAGTTTCTCTGACTTCAAGTTTTAACCTGTTTTTTCTGTCCCATCCATTTTATGGTATGGCCCTGCGTTCTGTGCCTGGGATATGTTCATGTCACTGTGGAATCTTCCAGAAACGAGCTGAACTAATAATACTTATCTGCTCTTTCCTCGTCTTGGCCCTCATATGATGGGTGCTGGTTGGCCAAAATAAACACTCAGATGTGTTCCCATTCATCCTAGTACTATTCTGAGACATCTTGTGAGCTAAGCATGGGCCCTGTGTCCTAGGCAGTTGATCAGAGTAGGGTGCAGCTCCCTGGATTTCCAAACTCTCCTCTAGAGTATAAGCTAGGCAGAGCTCATACTTCCAATAGCATTTTCAGGCCAGTCTGGCAGAGGCCAGCGGAAAAGCAAGCAGTGTAGCGTGAGCATCTACGGCATGGGGCTTGGGCTGTTCCGGAACTTTCTAGTAGGTCACCCGCACTCAGTAAGTTTACTCTGAGGAATAAGTCAGGAAAAAGACTCAACAGACTCCCAGGCATGTTAAGCAACGATGCCTGGTGTCGCTAATGCTCTGCTTTGTTTGCTCAGGGCTGGGGAGTATCTTCCCCGCCAAAGACAACCAGAACCTGTTTCTATAGCCTGTGGGAGGCACTGCTGTTCCATCCAGACAGAATCATAGCCAGGCCAACGGGAGGAAAAGGGCTCAATGGGAGACAGACTTCCCAGGAATTGGACCCATTGTACTCATTTCCCAGAATTCCCGGGAATTGGACCCATTGTACTCATTTCCCAGAATGCTGCTACTTCCTCCTGTTATCTCCTCCCCCATCCCCACCATTCTCAACTTTTAGACTCGGTTCCTACAAAAATGAATTTCCAGCAAGAGCCTGGAAAGAAAGGAAAAAGAAGGGGAGCTGAATGATCTAGAGGGGCCCCAGAGGGACCTAGGGAAGAAACCAGGCAGAAAAGCTGTTCTGTTTCAGACAGGATTTCCGTAGCCCAGGCTCACATTGAACTTGCTATGTAGCCAAGGGTGAGCCTCCTGCCTCCACCTACAAGTGTTCTGGGATTAAAGATGTCACTATGCCTGGTTTTATGTAATGTTGGGCATCAAACCCGGGGTTTCCTGCAGCCTGGGCAAGCTTTCTATCAGTTGAGAGCTATTCCCAGCCCCAAGCTGGTTTTCATACCAGAGGAGTGAGCAGCTTCTTTGCCCCCTATGCCCAGTAAACCGCAACAGCCTTTTCTAGACTCAGCCGATTACTGTACAAAGCCCGGGGTAACTTACCTTGCTGCGCAGGTGGGGTCTGGGAAAGCAGGAACTGGGATACAGACTGCAAGTGGCCAGGGACCAGCACAAGCTGCTGGAGTGGATGGAGGGAAGCCATGTCCTGCAGGTGGGGAGATGCATAGGTGTCATACAGTCTACAGCTGGGGGACCCCGGGGGCTGCAAACTCTGGAGGTGTGGGCAGAATCCTTGCTCCGTGTCGCTGTGTGTCCCTAACAAATGGCACACAGTAGTTACTCTATTAATGCTGGTATTGCTCCTGAAATCAACTAAGCAGTCACTGCAGCACGCAGGTACTTAACTCTGTTTTCATGCTTTCCTTTGCCTGTGCCCTGACTGCCGATCGTAGACGCCCTGAGGACCTACAGTAGGTATTGCCCACGTCTCTGAGGCTCTTCCTAGAAGTGGCAGCAATCCAGCTGTCCATTTTCTTCAACTATCATGTCACTGGGTTACCAAAAGCCACTCTTTAGTTATTGTTTGTACCTAAGTTTCTCTGCAAGGTATTAAGGAATGGGGCAAACTATCCATTATCTTTGTCACTGTTTTGTTTGAGACAAGGTTTCACCTTGAATTTGTACTAATTCCTTCTGCCTCAGCTTGCAACTACTGGGATTACAAGCATGGACCTCCATGCCTGCCTTTATCACTGTTTTGTTTTGAGATAGGGCATCTTATTATTTAACTCTAGCTGGCCTGGAGCCTGCTGTATAAACCAGACTGGCCTTGAGTTGGCAGAGATCCACTGGCTTCTGCCTCCTGAGTCCTGAGATTAAAGGTGTGCACCACCAAGCTTTGCCCCAGACTTCGTTTTTAATAAAGTCAATTTGATTAAACAGGAAGTCCATCGCTCTAGGCTCCTCTCACCAGCTCGCGACATAGAAGTGATGATCCCACCATCTGGAGCCTCACACGTGACAAACCTCCGGAAGTGAAGGAGGGAAAGGATGACTGCACATACTGCTTTCAAGAATGGCTGCGAGGGTACAAGACCCCTTTGGAGACTTTCATCCTCATGGCCCCAACGCGGTCACTGTTCTCCTAATACCTACTACAGTTTAGTTTTGTCATATACTCTTTTATTTGCTTGTTTTTGGTTTTTGGAGACAGGGTTTCTCTGTGTAGCCCTGGCTGTTCTGGACTCATTTTGTAGACCAGCCTGGCCTTGAACTCACAGAGATCCCACATGTCTCATCCTCCCTGAGTGCTGGGATTACAGGTGTATGTCATCACACCCAGCTGTCATATATTCTTGAAGGAAGCAGAGCGGACCCACTGGAGAAGAGAGGATCTGTAACTGCTCAGCCACTGTCTCACTGGAGGTTGTCAGGTTTTTGGTTCTGCAAAAGCAGTGACATGTCCCTTTGTCCCTCACCAGTCCTCACTTTCTGCAAGGACTGTTTTTAGAAACCTCACATACAAACTCTGAGCCTCCTTTGCTTGCAATGGGGGCTCTCTGGATGGATTCATGGGGTGCCAAAAGTAGAGGTCCAGTATTTTGTAGAGGGGCTAGATGGTAGGAGCTCACCAGACCACTAAACACACCAGGGTCCATGGCATGGGCTGGCACCTACCCCAGACATTTGGTTTCCAGGCATCATGGGAGGCCCTTGGCTCAGGTGGCATGGCCTGTGGGAAAGGGTCTGCTGTAGAGAGTCACCCAGGTCCTCCGTCTTAATCTGTAAGTAAAGGTAGAAGCAGAGGGTGAGTCCTAGGTCTCTCCAGGAAGATAGAAACAACTGTGAAGAGTAAAGCAGGAGATGAGTGGCAAGTCTGGAGAGGAAGCGGGTAGCCCACAGTTCCCTGGGCTGATGGATGGATGGGTTGGTTCTAAGAGGCCAGTCTTCAGGGTCTACAGCACCAGTCTACAAGGCAAACCAGTCTACCACCACCACTGCCAACTCGCCGTGCTGTGCCAACACAGTTCTTTTCTTCCTTGGAATGAGAAAAATCAGGATAGCATAGTGACTTCTAGAAAAAAAAGAAAGCTTAGTTCTGCTCATCCTTTTGGTATGATAACCTTTAGCAGGTAAAGCACTTTCCACCAAGTCTGATGACCTGACCTTCATATGTGTGCCATGGCATATGCCTACACACACACACACACACACACACACACACACACACACACACACACACGAATGAATAAGAAATAAATAAATATAATTTGAAGTTTTGTAATGAGAAAACTAAGCCAGGAATGTCAGTGAATTCTTATAATGCCAATGCTTGGGAGGCTGAGGCAGGAGGTCGCCTATGAGTTTAAGGCCAGTCAGGACTACATGGTGAGTTTCAGTGTTTGTAAGAATTCCAGACTTAAGGAGACATAAATTAAGTCTGTCCTCTCCTTATAACTGGGTCAGAATTACACACAGCTGGCCAGAAGGTAGAAAGGGAATGACAGGAATCTCAGGCAAGGGTCTAAGGATCCTTCTCCCTGGTGAGAATGTCAACAGTCACCTAGCCTGATCTTGGGGTCTCTTACAGACAGCCAGAGCTGCTCTGATGACAATAATGGTTGTTTTGATTGAAGGATAGCTCAGAGGATAGTGTGACCCTGTCACAAACAAACAAACAAGCAAACAAAAACCCAACCCAGAAAATAATCTTCAGTGGCTAGGTGTAGTGCGTGCACTATGATCCCAGCAATTGGGATGGTGAGGCAAGAAGATCACATTTGAACTCAGCCTGGGCTGTATGCAAAACCAACCAACCAACTAAACAACCAAACCAACAAAAAAGCTTACTAGAGTAAACTGTTATAAATCATTTGCTTTTCTATCACACTGGGATATCAGAATTCCCTTTGAGATGACTAAATAGTATTTGAGATTCTAAATAGTATCTTTAAAACTCTCCCCCTCATGCCAGGAGTGGGTGGCACATGCCCTTAATCCCAGCACTGGGGAGGTAGAGGCAGGCAGATCTCTGTGATTTCAAGGTCAGCCTGTTCTAAAAATGGAGTCCAGGACAGCCAAAGCTACCCAGAGAAACCCTGTCTCAAAAAATCAAAACTAAACCAAACCAAAACAACACAAACGTCACTGCATCAAAAGAGAGAAAAAATGTGACATCCTTTAATTGATGGATTCCCATCAGTGAAACCTTGAAGCCTGGAAACTGCTGGTCAGGGGGGCTCTTTCCCTTCATTCCTCTTCTCCCCCTTCTCAACGTTAAGCTGCACCTGCTGAGTCCCTCTTGGTCTGCATGGTTTTGGTGACAAGGTGACAATTTCGATACAAGCAGAGACATGCCTTCCTTAAAGCCTGAGGGAACATTGGTGGTTTCAGGTTCTTTTCAGACTCTTTCAACCTTCCACGACACAAGAACTACCTACTCAAAGGTTTCCTAGGAATCCCTGAAGAAGGCAGGAAGTACTGCTTGTGGCCACCCCTCCCCTACCTCAGAACAACTACTCCCTCCCTTGAAATTTTTCAGGAAGTCCACTTCGAGGAGAGCCAAGTGACTCTGAATGCATACATCAAAGAATGCATACCACCCCTTGAGAAAGACTTTGGTGTGACCTTCTGAAATAGACCCTCTGGTAGATGGTTATCTTTTCCACGTATAAAACTCTAAGCCATAAAGATGCTGGCATAAACCATTTGGGCTACACTGGGAACATCACTGATAGCTTGGAATCCTTCCTGTTGGGTATTGGTCTAACCTTAAGCAAAAAGTTGAGAGTGTATGAGCTAGAGAAGGTGGTACATGCCGCTGCTAGTGGACAAAGCAGGAAGATCTCCAGTATAGGAGACCCTACCTCGAAAAAGAAACAACAACGATAAATAAAATAAGGTGCTGGAGAGTTGGCTTAGTGGTTAAGAACACTGGCTACTTTCCCAAAAGACCTGGGTTTAACTCCCAGCACCCACCCACATGGCAGTTCAAAACTGTCTGTAACTCCAGTTCCAGGGGCTCTGACACCATCTCTCTCTCTCTCTCTCTCTCTCTCTCTCTCTCTCACACACACACACACACAGGCAGAACACCAATGTACATTAAGTAAAAATAAATAAATCATTAAAAACAAACAAATAAATAACTGAACATCTGAATCTATGCTGAGTCTCTGTGGAAAACAAATTTTAATCTCTCAGGAAGGGATTCCCATTGGCTGACAGAGAAAAGAGCTAAACAGTGGGAACCTGAAGAATATTAATTGGTTAAGACAGTAATGGGGTTGGAGGAATAACTCAGTGGTTAGGAACACTTGCTGTCCTTCCAGATGACCAGCACCCACATCAGGTGACCCTCAATAGCCTGCAGCACCAGCTACAGGGGACCCAATGCCTTCTTCTGGGCACCTGCACACACATGTACACACATACACATGTGTCAACAAGTAAATCCTTAAAAATAAACAAATCCACTGTTTAAAAACAAGACAAAGCTTGCCTCTGTAGATCAGGCGAGGCAGTGAAGGAAACAGGGCGGTGAGCAACGTGGGCCCTGTTCGCAGTCTAACTCAGACTCTGACTTCCTATGTGATCTTGAGCAACAGGGGTGTCCCCACCTGTCACGAGTTCCTGTGTTGTTTTTCGCCCTCTGGTTCTAAAGGGGAATAGCCAACTCTAGTTACAGGCACAGATGGCACATTTGGTAGTCCAGTGACTACCAAGAGACCCCAGAGAAGTCCTGGGCAGGATTGGGAAGAGGCTGGCTTTTCCAAGCCTACTTTGCACATCATTGTCCTCACAGAGACCATTCCGCAGAACCTTGAAGCAAAGAGGAGGAAGGACAAGAAATGGGACTGTAGCACTCAGGGGACAGAGAGAGATTCTGAGACATCAAAAGGCACAGCATCCGGGCTGGTCTCCAGAGTTACCCTGCCCGTGCCTCTTCAGCTCTGCACTTCTGTCTCAGAAATGCTGATAACTGCTTCATCCGCAGACCTTAGAGTCTACACAACCTAGATTCCATCGAGACATTTGTTAGCAGTTTTAAAAAAGTAGTTAATTCCTTTAAAGCCAGCTTGGGAGGCAGAGGCAGGCAGATCTCTTTGAGTTCAAGGCCAGCCTGATCTACAAATCAAGTTCAGGACAGCCAGAGAAACTCTGTCTTGAAAAACAAAACAAACAAAAGTAGATAATCAATGTTTTTTTCTTCCAAAACCACCTCCACCAAAACAATTTCAGGTCTGCTTTGAAAGCCCCTTTCGCCAGTCTTCCTGACATACCTCTCTGCTCCCTGCTTTCTGCTCTCTGCTACTCCCTTTCTGCCATCAGGCATCCCCATCTCAGAGAAGCACGGAGAGGCAGGATGGAGGAAGGGGGACAGAAGGAGGGCATGGAAACCTGGAGAAGAAATCACACCGGTAGAACCACCCCGGGCAGCCTGGCATAGTTCCAGCTCAAAGGCAAGTGGCGGGATCCTTTCCAGGCTCATTTTGCTTCACGGAGAGAGATAAGGGGTGTAGCTATGACAGAGCTCGGAAGCATGCGCTCTGCCTCCGACCGGGGCGCTATCTGTTAGGACCGCTGCCAGGGCTTCCCGCAGTGCTGAAGTGCACCACCATAAAAGAGAAGGCGCCCTTTCATCTGCCTCACAGAGCGATGCCCCCACACTCTCCTGGAAGGGAGCATTCCTACCTCCCAGGTCAGCAAACAAAATGCCCGATGGTAGAAACCTCCCTCGGGTGTAGGCTGGGGCTTCTTGGTAACTTTCTATGTTACTCTTCTGAGATTAATTTGTCTTATCTTCACTCACCAGCCTTTTCATTCATTCATTTTCCACAGTTCCCCAACCCCTGGGTAAGAAGTGCTGAGCGTAACCTCCAAAGAAGACGGTCCTAAACAAACAAAATAAAGAAGACATACATAGGAGGCCAGACATGGTGACGCATGCCTTTAATCCCAGCACTTGGGAGGCAGAGACAGTCATATCCCTGAGCTCAAGGCCAGCCTGGTCTACAGAGTGAGTTCCAGGACAACTGGGGCTGCAGAGAGAAATCCTTTATGTAAAAAACAAAAACAGGAAAAACAGGAGCATTTCTTCCATAGTCTCCACTCTTGTGCAGAGCCAGATAACAGGCACAGGGAGACGATGCCCAGCTACTGCCTCCAGCGTGGTTTTTTGGACACTCTCAGGGGCCAAGAAACCGAAGAAATTAAGAAATAAAGCCTGCACTAATCCAAAAAATATCCCTTTTCACAGCTGTGGAAAAGGCTGGAACCTTTCCAGGCAACTGGGTGTTGGCTGTGGGTCTGCAAGATGAGATAGAGAGACGTCTGTTGGGTCCCTCTGACTTCTAAGGTGAGAACCACAGGCAAATTGGACGAAAACCCAGTTTTCCTCACCCTTGTGAGAACCTGACTGAACCCACAGCCTGCTTGGAAGCATGATGATGGTCTTCCGGGCCTCATTGGCAGTTCTTGCCACCTGAGTGGAAAGTCTCTGGAATGGCTAATCCCTGGGGACAGGGGCTGTCACAGTATGGATTTGCTCTGGCACGGGCACAGAGCACCCCATCCACCTAGCAGCCGAGGTCTGATGGTGTAGGATCTCCTCCACCCACAGCTCTGCTCAAAGGTATTGCAATGAGACTTGGGCAGTGACCAGGGAGGTAAAAAGCTATCATGAGCGATTATCTTTTCTAATCCAAGTGAACTCCCTGACTTCATGGCTTTAGAAAGCAGTAGCCTCCTTCTAGCAGGAAGGTGCCCCTCCTGAGCAGATA